CTTTTCAAATATACATGGAGCAATTATTAAAAAAGGTTTTATATATTAGGACACAAAGAAAACCTCAATTCAGAGAAACAAAAATTGTCAAACAAGTCTGACTACCTGCAATAAAGTAGAAAATTATTTAAAAGTAAAGCCTAACTCTGGGTTTCAGTAGGATGATGGCAACTACCTAAACTCACATCTCTCCATATATTCTCCAAAAAAGCATACAGAGTTATCATCAGAGTAAATTACACCATGATCACTTTTGCTTAATTAACATAAAACAAAATTGTGGGTAAATAGGGAGTTGACCCTGCAGTTCAGCAGGGCTGGCTCTGGAACCCTTGCAGACCTGGTGAGTAAGGTGGAAACTTTATAGAGAAGAGGAGAGGGAAGCAGGATCTAGCAGCAGAAGAACACTGATAAAATAACTCCCAGGACAAGAAAGACCCACCTTGAGGGGGGAAATACTGAGAAATACGAGACCTGTTGGATGAAAGGGACCTAAAAGTACGTGGAATGAAGCAATTGCCAGAAAGTAGTGCTTCTAGGGAAAGAGGGGGACTTGGAAGAGGTACTTTTAAGAGGCATGGAGACTCCAGGTAGTAGAAGCTTAGTAGTAAATGAGAAAGAAGAGATTGTAGAAATGAAAGATCTTGGTGATACAGAACAGAAGATAGATAAGCCCTTCTCCCACCCAAAAAGGAGTCACTGAAGAAAAACCCCACTTAATGAGATATTACTGAACTAAGCAACCCAGTAATTCTTTCATGTCTCTCATTCTTGTCTCTGACACAGAGACCACCATAGGGACATAGAACAAACAAACTCCTGGGCTTTTAAAATGTTAGTCATTGAAAGTGTGATTTGTGTTTTCTTCGAAGGCAGCCAGGGAGTTAAATATGTTTTTTTTGCTAAAACCTGTGACTTTTCACTTGGGCCTACAGAAGTCCAATAGATAACTAAAAGCAGAACACAGCTTGATATTCATTTTGTAAAACTCTGGGTCAAATCCCTTCACAGCTCTGTGTATAGGCATTTTAACCATTTAGGGAGTGTCTATCTAAAAGTTGGCAAAACAAGGCTTATTTCTTCTAAATTTGCCCAGCCTGTCTTACCATGTGGACATCAGGATAAGAGCTTTACAGGGACAATCACCTGTCCCCAGAAATCAAGAATCGCTTTGAATTCCAGTAAAGCCTCACAAGCAGAGACGTCATCTCTTATAGGAACCAAAGTTCCCCTCAAGGCATGAGAATTCTTCCGGAGTTATAACACCAAGACTGAGATAATGATGCACTGGATGCCAGCCCATCACAGTACACCATAGAATAGTCCCTGTCCTTCATTAATGAGCCTGATCCACCTGTCCAGAAGAGACCTGTGCCCATTTCAGTTTCTACAAAGCCCCTTTCCTATCTTCTCTAAAATTTCTTCTGTTAGAGGACCCGCTTGATCTTTGTCAGAAAATTGTGTTCTCCTTTGTTTTCTTTTACTTTTTATTTAAAGCTTTTTCCTATGAATTTGTGACAAATGCCTCAGTTTTAATCCTGTTATAACTGAAACAAGGACCAGCACTGGCCAGTGACATATGTACAGCTCATCTGGTTTAAGAAAAATAAAACACTTCAAAATGAACAGAAGATGGCAGACATATAGTTACTTTAAGTAGAAAGCAAAATTAGAGGCAAAACATTTCATTTGATGAAAAAGTTCCCCCAAAACATTCAGCCACAGAGAAAAAACAAAAAACAAAAAAACAAAACTTCACAATACACCTGAGTTAAATCTAAGCAGTTGTAGAGATGAAAAGCCTCAAATCCAAACTCAAAATGCCAAAACAAATGGGCAGAAAGAAGATGTGAAAAGTAAACTTCCTGAACTCAGGAAATAGGTAAAAATGGAGTTTCTAGGAAGAAAAAATAGTCACTGAGATAACATTTCAATTTTTATCTATGGAAACATTTAGAAATAAGGGAAAATACAAATGTACATACAGAACAGTGTCAAGCTGGCCATGTATCTCAGTGGTACCATACTATGTTGTGGGAAGCCAGCCATAACCCACTGGCTTTTTGAAAGACAACATTTGTTCCTTTTTAAGGACTGCACATGTTAAACTTGTTTTGACCCTGCATGGGAGAAACACAGACAGCCAAAGATCTGTAGGAGTCAGGTGTTGTTAACTCCATTTTGTTATGTTAAAGATCTGATGTTATCTATAGGAGCAGGTATTGAGGTTACTATGGTAATCCTAGCCCATAATAGTTCGGTCTTTTCCTTTAAAAGGCTGATGCCTGCCTGCAATAAACGTCGCCTTGATCAGACTCTTGTCTTGGCGTCCTTCCTTTCTCTCTGCCCCATCTCCACCCCGCTGCTCTTTCAGGTTTGAGGCACTGCGGGACAGTGCTCTGCGTCGCCGGTTCGCGACACTATGTAGTGTACTAGGCCCTTGTTTCCACAACTAGCACCACCACAAATAAGAAAGAAAGAAATGTGCATTGTATATTGAGGATGCTGATCCAGAATGGTTACATAAAACTGTTAGACTTTCCAGATGATGAAGAAGAATTCTTCTGGGCTTCCATGCAGAAGTTAGCAGTAGACTTTTTAACATTGACATATGGAGTAAAACACCCATGGATAAATATAAAGTTTATGAAAGTGTTGGCCAAGGGTTTTATAACTAACTGTCCCATTTTCAGAAAAAACAAAAACCATGATAAACCCCACTATAATAAATAACTGTATTTATGTGATGAATGCCATGAGCAAAGACAAATGGCAAAATAAGGCCAAATATTTGGACTTATATCACAAAGAGCTAATCTCCTTAATGAAAATAACTTCTTGAAAAATCCAGACAAATAAGATGGTTAACCCAGCTGAAAAAAGGGGCCAAAGATATGAAACAAGAATGCAGATGATATATGTATAAAAAAGGTTCCAGCTTTAGTCATACAAGAAATATAAATTAAAGTTATAATAAAGAATGAAAACTAAGCCGGGCACGGTGGCACATGCCTGTAATCCCAGCACTCGGGAGGCTGAGGCAGGAGGATCGCTGTGAGTTCAAGACCAGCCTGGGCTACATAGTGAGTTCCAGGTCAGTCTCAACTACACAGTGAGACCCTGTTTCAACCCCCGCCCCCCAAAAAGACTATTCTAAAGCATTTTGCAACAAAATCCAAAAATTATATAGTATACTGTGGAGAAATAGCCATTTCGATACATTTCTAGCAGTGATGGATATATAACCATAAACTAGGTGGGAAGGGATGTGTCAGCATCCACCACAATTACACGTAAATGTATTCTTTGGAATAGGCATTTAACTTTTAGGAATCTATTCTAGAAATACACCGAAATGAAATACAAGCTGTTATCTGGGAATGGTGGCACACACCCGTAACCCCAGCACTCTGAGAAATGAGGCAGGAGGATTAGAAGTTCAAGCCTACCCTGGACAATTTAGTGACCTGTCGCGAACCGGCGACGCAGAGCACTGTCCCGCAGTGCCTCAAACCTGAAAGAGCAGCGGGGTGGAGATGGGGCAGAGAGAAAGGAAGGACGCCAAGACAAGAGTCTGATCAAGGCGACGTTTATTGCAGGCAGGCATCAGCCTTTTAAAGGAAAAGACCGAACTATTATGGGCTAGGATTACCATAGTAACCTCAATACCTGCTCCTATAGATAACATCAGATCTTTAACATAACAAAATGGAGTTAACAACACCTGACTCCTACAGATCTTTGGCTGTCTGGGTTTCTCCCGTGCAGGGTAAAACAAGTTTAACATGTGCAGTCCTTAAAAAGGAACAAATGTTATCTTTCAAAAAGCCAGTGGGCTATGGCTGGCTTCCCACAGTGACCTAACAAGACCATATCTCAAAATAAAAACATAGGCTGGGGATACAGCTCAGTGCCAGTGCCCTGGGTTCAATTCCCAGTATCACAATAACTAAGAATAAAAATAAACTATTATTTGTATATAGTTAGTCACAGCAGCATTACTAGCAAAAGACGGGGAGCAACTAGGATGCCAACTGATAAGAGGATTAATTGGATATAACATATCCAAAGAGTGAACAATCTCCAGGCACATGGTGTACTTTTGGGGCAGGGGCATCAGGAATTGAACTCGGGACCTGATGCTTGCCAGGCAGGGCACCACTGAACTACATCCCTGGCCCACATGGTGTCCTTTCTAAGTCACCCTTTCTCCAAAGAAATGGCATGTAGAATAATCTAGAGGCAGAAAGAGGAAGCAAGAGAAAGGTGCCCAGGGAAGAGAGATTTCTCTAGCTGTAACTTTATGAGATTCCTCTAACTATAACTTGTTTCTATTTTGACCATAGAGTCATACACACACAAACACACACACACACACACACACACACACACACACACACAGTCACAAATAAACTTAAAAACGAGGAGTGAAAAAATCTGAAAGGAATTGGAACAAATTTACAGAACTATTTGGTCTCCTACACTATGTAGCATCTTGGTGATATACCACACAAGAAAAAATAATTTCTAGTGATTTTATAACATAGATTTTGGTTTGTACCTTCTTAGAATGGTAAATGTTCAGTAGTAGTATTGTGATATATTGCTCTTTTGTAACTATTCTGTATGTGTTACTAGTTAAAATAAGTGTTGAAAAGTGTTGGACATGACCCACAGTTTATCAATTCTGTGACTTCAGAAAATTTAGTAAGGAAACTCCTTTGACAGATTGAAGTGAGGATGAGTACAAAATTCCAGCAGAGCACCTAATGTAACATAGTCTGCTTTGTTGCTGACATTGGGCTGGCACTATATATGTATATAGTCTGTGTCATTTATTTCTTGCAGCTATACATTGCAACCAGTGATATTCATTTTCTGGTAGGTTGGGGGAGTTTAAGTCACTTGATTTAGATTGTCTAGTTACTAAATAGGAGATTCAGACTTAAACTGAGCTATGTGACTCCAATGCCTATGCATTTTCTACTTCATTATTACAGGGTATACATCAAATTTTAAGAAGAAAGAACATCAGGACCTTAGGGTTCTGTTTTAACCTATATGGTGTTGGCTGTTCAGAAAATAACAATGAAGACTTCAAAATGGTGGTTTATATGTTCTTCGTGCAGAAGCAGTGTACTAAAGGTGAGAAGTGTAAGTTTTCTTTTATTTATGCCCAGGGAAAGGTAATACACACACACTTATATTGTTGTTAGAAATAAATTTTACAAAGTAATAGGGTTGTGGGAGTGTGTAACAGTGGTACACCACTTGCCTAGCCTATTCAAGGTGCTGAATTTAACCCCTAGCACTGCCAAATATATATATATGTATATATATGTGTATGTATAATTTTTTTTCAAAATTGTAATGGCTGAAATTAGAAGAAGAAATGAACAAAAAATATGGTGTAGCAAAAAAGAAAAAAAAAACTTAGCAGGCATGGGTTTTCACATGCTTTTAATTAAAAGCAAAAACCCTCAAGCCAGCCATAGTGGTACATGCCTATAACCCCAGCACTCTTGGAGGCTGAGGCAGGATAGTCACAAGTTCAAGCCCAGCCTGGGCAACTTAGTGACTTAGGAGACCCTGTCTCAAAAGGGAAAATACATAAAAATAAAAAACAAACAGGGCTGGGGATTTAGCTCAGTGGTGCTGCCGCTTGCCTCGCAAGCTCAAGGCCCTAAATTCAGTCCCTGGACTGTGGATTTATTTAGCTCAGTGATTCTGCTGCCTACCTTGCAAGCGGAAGGACCCAAGTTCGATTCCCAATTCCACAAAACAAACAAAAAGACTACTTCACTAAATTCAATCCCTGGTACCAAAAAAAAAGCAAACAAACAAGCAAAAGCCAAAAAGCTCTTCTACATTTTGTGCTGTAAAACAATAGAAAGATGAAAAAGCTAAAATTTTACCAAATATATAACAGGAAGAATAGTGGGCCAGCAATTTAGTGGCACCGCACCTGCCTCATAAACACAAGAACCTGATTTTAATCCCCAGCACCAGAAAAAATAAAAAATAAAAAACCAGGAAGAACAGGAAGAAAGCATTACTTAAATAAGGAAAAGCTTTATATAGCTCTTTTATATAAGATGCTAGTTCAAATAAATTGTGTTTCTTCATGTTGGAGATAAAAATTTCAGAGGTACTAGAGCTCCATCTATCCATGCTAGCCTTTATATTTCTACTGAATTCTACTGCCTATTAATATATTTTTCTTTCAGTTCAGTGCTACCTTTTTGTTGTTGTTGTTATTGTTGTTGTTAATGGTGCCAAAAGTTTATTTGAAAAAATGTGGGTGAATAGGTATGGCAGAACCCATCTCTGCAGAGTGAACTTGAGCCAAATAGAGAAAAGGAGAGTAAAAGCAAAAATAAAAGTACATGCTGATCTGAGAAATATGGCGTGGGCTATTGTAGAAACTTAGGTATAATAGTCCAGTGCTACTTTTTAAAAGGTCTGCCTATTGAAGTAATTGGAGAAGGAAATTTGCCTATTTATATGCAATTGATTATGATGGAAATCTGATTTGTGATTTTATATGTCTGATGGAAATGAAAGAATATGTTGGATTTGCTATAAAGACTTTAAAAATAAAATTTGAAATTTCTTTTTTCTTTTGTGGGGGCAGAAGCTGTGCTGATCAATGATTTTGAGCAAAGCCAAGAAATTTGAAACAAATTTGCCGATGATACACAACTTCCAAGGTAAGATATAATATAGCTTAAAATCAAGATTATGAGTACTCTTGACAGATTTGTAGCTTATTCTGAGCATACTGAAATTGTATCAGGAATAAGTACAATATCCTGATTTAAATTTTGCAAAGCAATTGCAGAAGAAATTGACTTCCACTTGCAGCAATATGCTAGATAAGAGATCTTGATTCCCTCCCTCTACCAAACATGTGAAATACTAGATTCAATATAAAAATGTCCTTTTAAATGAATGTAAGAAAATAAGGGAAACTTTGTAGCTGGGAACAAACAAGTGTGTTTTGTGAGGTAGGCAGGTGCTGACATAATTGAATACTTTGGGGCAGCCATGGCTTTCCTTTACGTAAAGCCTCTGTGCATGAAGAAGGATGGGAAAGAGAAAATAATCCTTGAGTCCTGCAGAAGGGTAAGAAGGCTGATCATAGGCCTTACAGAGGCCTTCATTTCTGGGTACAAAGTCTTCTCTAATAATTCCTGGTTACCAGTCAGATTCATTTAAATTTAGGGCCTTAATTTATACTATTTTCATTGTTCTAAAACTCCACAAGAGACTATAATATTCTTAGGTACCTGATTGAAAAAATCTTAAATCCTCTGTGATGGAATGTATAGTTATAAAATTATCATAGTTAAAATTGTAACAAATAAGTCATACCTTTTTTTTAAAAAATCACAAATGTCACAAAGGGAATAAATTAAAATATTATTAGTAAGAGGCAGTGTAAACAGCAAACAGCTGAAACAAATGTAGAGATATCAGCTGTCAGAAGTCTCCAGTGCAAAAGATAAATGTTTAATATTTTTAATAAAGGGTTATAAAACAAATGATGAGACTATGAAAGGCGCATTTTAGAAAGAATCAGTAGCACATCAAAAATGAAAAATAATAAACCCTAAAAAATTAATTGATGGGTTAATGTAGCATATAGGTACAGTTAAAAAGAAAGAGACCAGATAGATCCTAATACAGTACAGAGAGAAAAGAGATATAAGAAATGTAAGAGATTGTGAAGTTATCTAATTATAGAAAAAAAAGAAATATACATGAGTCAGCATTCATAGTAGCCATTAAAAATTTGCCAGAATTGACAGAACACATATATCTTCAGATTTAATGAGACCAGAAAATTGTAAATAAATAGAAATACATAGCCATGTTATTGATAAGCTATAGAATGCCAAACACAAAGAGACTTATAAGTTATAACTCACACTAAAAAGTATTGTTGTAGATGTCATGCTTCAAGAAGGAAATGGTTCTAAAAGAAAATAAAGAAGAAATTTTTAAAAAGTGGGTAACATGAATAAGATGATATTGGGAGAAGGAAACAATAATCATGTCAAATTTGTAATTACCAAGATAAAACTGTGTTGTTGCACTGGCCTGCAGTGACATGTAAGCCACTAAAGGTTGATTGGAATTTTGATATTCTAAGATCTGTGTACTTTGTTAACTAAAAGTAAAGTCTTATTGCCTAAGAAATTAAAAAAACAAACAGGAAGGTGGATGTTCAGTATCACAAGCAATCAGATAAATGAAAATTTGAATTATGAGAAAAAAATTGTATGACTTTGTAAATAAGAAAGAATTTTTAAACTGACTTTGAGATGGTGAGAATCAGGTGAACCTCCTGGTATACTCCTGCTGGACCATCTAATTAGTTGATGAAATTAATTCAAATTTAATTACTTTTGGAAATCAATAATAAGTACCAAAGTTATCAAATATATCGAGTTCTCTTATATTTTGACCTAGCACACCTATTTGTAGCTGACTTCAAACTTCTGGCAATCCTTCAGCTTCAGCCTCCCAAGTTCTGGGATTATAGGCCTGTGCCACCATGTCCTACTATGCAAATTTTTTGTAAGATTTCTCATAAGGGCGAAATAGGAAAGTAACTTGGATGTCAGTGATAATGGATGAAGTAAATTAGTATAGATTAAAACTGTTCTGTAAGAAGTGATAGTTTTTCTAAATGGCTTTAAAAAGCATGGTTAGTGTTTTATATAGTTATACAAATATGTAAAATTTTATACTACATCTATGTGGAACATATATGCATATATTTATATGTACTGGAAAATGCTATGAAAAATAGCTTTGATGTTAACAGAGTAAGATGTGTTACTGTCTCTAAATTTTTAAAGTTGAATTTTCAAGTGGAAAAAAGTATAATTTAAAATAATTAATTGAATGAATGCTATTTTTTTTCTTGTACTGGGGATCAAACTTGGGACCTTGAGCTTTCAAGGAAGGCATGGTGTCAATGAGCTGAAACCCCAGCATCTGAGGGCTTTTTAACTAAGAAATGCAAGACATAATTTTTATAGAATTAATCAAAGTTCTGAGTCAAATTATTTCACAGATATTTATGTGCTTTGAAATTAAATCACTTTTAATTTGTCTTAGTTTTCCTAGCCTATAGGAATGTCATTGATTTGATTAGGGTAGGTGCTCTATTTTGTAAATTTTCTGAACAAATTATATTTTACTGAAATTGTTTGCTTATATTATCACCAACCTACATGAAATCAGTCTGCATGTTTACTCAGAGATCTGAAGACATCTGTTTATGCTGAGTTTTTAAATGTTTTTTTCTTATTTATTAGAACTGATTGCTGTGTTTTAATTATTTTATGTTTTCATATTAAGGATTATGTGTTAGGAGGGGCTGGGGTTGTAGCTCATTGGTGGAGCACTTACCTAATGTCTCTGTCACTTTTCTTATCGTTGGAACAAAATGCACGACAACTGCAATTTAAAGGACAAGAGGTTTATTTTGGCTCACATTTCAGAAGTTTCAGTTCTTGCATGGTTTGCAGCATGGTGGAAGAGCCTGGCATGGAAGAAAGCTGCTTACCTCATGGTGACCAGGAAGCAGAATCAAGGAAGGACCTTCCTGGTCACAATGAGCTGCCTCTTTAGTGTAGTCTCCAGCTCCAGCAAGTCAGCTATAATGTTCCCATAATCCAGCCACCTTCTTAACACAGGAGGTTTTAGGGGTCATTTTAGGTCTAAACCATACTACCTACAGCATGTGCAAGGTCCTGGATTTAATGCCCCAGTACTGCCCCCCCCCAAAAAAGAAAGAATTGAAAAAAAGTATTGTGTGCTAAGGCTGGGGGTGTAGCTCAGTGACAGAATATATACTTAGCATGCATTGTAAGACTTGACTAGGCTAAAGTGACTCCATGCTAATAGGCCAGACTGTGCTTCTTCATATGCTAATTGCTACCTTGGTTAACAGCCCGGCCAGGGGCAAATGGTTTGACAAAAGGTGACCCTAGAACATTTCCTGCATAAGATAAGCAATGTGTTTGCAGTCTTGTTCTGTGAATTCCCTGACTCTTTGTTTAGTAAAACCTTATAAAAAGTACCTCAGCCCCTGAGCAGTTGCCTCTCTGAGCCACCTGGCTCTGGGAGTGCCGTCTGGCCAGACTAATAAAGGTCTCTTTACCATCTAGCCTGGTGTGTTCCTTCCTGGGTTTCTAGGTTCTCTGTCGTGTTCGCGGAGCCTTGCTGGGTGTTAGGGCCCAGCATCGTGGAGGCCTTTCGGCTGTTCACGCTCCGTGAAGTGGAAGTGAGACTTTAGGTCTTACAGCATGAAGCCCTAGGTTCAATGTCTACCCGCTGAAAAGAAACAAAACAAACAAAAAAGAATGCATTTTAGTATAGTACGTATTATAAATTCTTCTTATGGGAGAAAGGGGTTGTCTCAGGTTGATTCTGTCATTTCCCAGGTAGATAATACCAGTTCAGAGAATTGAATATATTGTGAGCAGTGCTTCATAGTGTTTGGGAGAAAAAATGGGGAGAAAAATTATGTGTAGAAGTGGTGTATAGTCAATTTCCTGTCACTAGAATGATAGAGAAGAGCTATACAATAAGACAGGCCCTTGCCTTACCTCCACTTTTTTTTTTTTTCCCACAGAATGTTTTATTTTGGAAGTGTAAGTTTGTGTTTCTGGGCTGTTGCCCAGTGTATCAAAACGGTTTGTGACTGTTTGAACTGTGTGACCTTTTGGGAATGTTCTGTAAAGCTCTGCCGCCTCTCAGGAATGTTCTATAACTGCTCAGTTTGTGCTCTGAGCAGCACTCCTGCCCAGTGTATGAAAATGGTTTGTGACTAAACTGTGTATCCCTTCGGGAATATTCTGTTAAGGTCTGCCCCTTCACAAGAAGGGTTGTGTTAAGCTCCACCCCCTCTTAGGAATGTTCTGTAACTCCGCCCCCCCTCGCTTCAGTGAGCCTGCCTGTCTACCCTGTAGATCCCTCTATGAGGAGGCTTTCATTTCTGGTAGAGGTTCAGACTCCTCTGAGCCTGCTGGGGCGTGCCAGTGTAATAAAGGTTTTTTTCCCATGCCTCTCAGTCTTCACATTATGAGAGCTGTCTTCCAGAGCTGCCTCACTGAGCTGGAAAGCTAAGCTGTACCTCAGAGTTGTGGCACTTGGCTGCAGCACTGAGTTGTAACACTCAGCCATGCCTCTGAGCTATGGCACTTAACTGTGTCACTGAGCTGTAACACTTGGCTATAGCATTGAGCTGTTCTGCTCTGCCACAACAGGAACAAAATACCTAATACACACGATTTAAAGGAGGAGAGGTTTATTTGGTTTATAGTTTCCAGTGGGTTCAATCACAAGTCAGTTGACTTTAAAACAGAATGGCATAGCAGAAAGGCATAGAAGAGGAAAGCTTCTCACTCCGTGGCAGCCAGGAAGAAGAGAGGAGAGAGGAGCCAGGAGTAAGAATACACTCTTTGCAGGTTATACCTCAATGACCCACCCCTTTCTATTAGGCCCTGCCTCTAACCACAAGATTTAATGGGACATTTTATGATCTTTTTTTTTTTTTTTTTTTTTTTTTTTTTTTTTTTTTTTTTGTACCCAGGGATCAAACTCTGGTCCTTGTTGCTGGCAAGGCAGGCGCCGGAACCACCGAGCTAAATCCCTTGATGGGACATTTTAGATCTAAACCATAACATTCTAC